TAGGTCTGGGGATCAAACCCCAGAGAACGCAAATTATGCAGATTATAGAGAAAAAAGGTTACAAGAGGTCTTCAGCATGGTGCATGGCGTATCATAGAACATGGATCTCATAAGGCGCTTCGGAATGATGCAGTTAGACGTGTATTCTCATATGGTGATAGAATTATCGGTTGTAGAATAGTCTATGTAATATTTCTCAACATTTAATAGCATATTAGCTAGACGTTTAAAAAAATGCAAGAACATATACGAGACTTTCTATAAGGGAGACGGGACTTTGTATATGAGAAACAACACGCAAATTAAAAAAATAAAATAAAGAGATTTTCTAAAATAAATTTGAAATTCTATATTAAATATAAAATCGTAATAATTTAAATATGAAATCATGTTTATTATATTGTGAAAATATATATTTCAAAATGCCTTTACAAAAATTGAGAATATAAAAAATGTATATGCATCAAATAAGTTTTACCATTTTAGTTACGGTCAATTTATATCAGTAGGTTATTAATACTAAAAAAGCATTATTTTGTACGTTTTCATAAAAATACTTATTTTGTAAACTTATTTTTTTCTAAGTGATGTACATTTTTTGGTGTGATAGGTTTATTGTACAATATTGATATTCTTATTGTTGTATTGTACAAACAATGTATTCAAAATCGCCCTAATTATTATTTATATTTTTTAAAGTTTTCGTCCAATTTAATTTACTAATATAAATTATATAATTTCTAAAACTTTAGAAATAAATAAAAAGTATACCAAGACATTATAAGATTTTTTTTAACAATAAAATTTATTTATTAATATAATGTAAATATTACAACAGAGAATAAAAAGGAAACAATGAATACATAATTAATGAAAACAACAAACAACAATATACAGAAAACTCGATCAGAGGTCTTCTGCATATTCACTTTCGATTCCATACGACTTTCATATTTAACTATCATCCATAAAATGAAATTCCAAACCTTGTATCGCATCATTATCATCAACAACTTTAATTCCCCTTGTTGTATAACATTGGCCAACTCCCAATCTAAAACTACACATATCTTTCGATAAAAAATCCAATATATTGATTCAATCGAAAAGAATAGAAATTGATGTTGCCAATTTTCAACGATTATACAAACATCGCCATACAACAAATGGATTGCATCTTCAATTCCAAACCATTGTCTCCTCCAAAGAAATTTCTATGGGTTCATCAATGATTTTGTTTTGCCCATAATACTTTGTGGATGCATCACCATAGCCAATATATTGATTCTTCACCTTGAAACCAAAACTGGGATTGTCTATCATCTTCAATCTCCCAAACTATAATACACCATGGTGGCTTCCATGGCTGTTGTTTCCAAAGCAATGAAGTCAAAAGGAGTTCCTTACCATTTGATTTTGGAATCAGCACAATTGGTTCTGTCTTGTTGACAATCATAGTCCAACGCTCCGTAACGTTGAACATCTCCTCCTCCGCCAAACCGGTAAATTTCCACGAATATAGAATTGCTGGACTCCATTGATCAAAACACCATGGTATTCTTTGAAATTGGGCATCGCAAAGGATTGAGATATCCTTTACGGAGATTACAGATTCAATTTGGGTGAGATCAACACAGTAAATACACCCAAAAGGAACCACAAATAAAACAACTCCATACTTGGAGGAGATATCAGAGACAGATCAAGGAATTGACGAGAATGTAGTTTAATCCTTCTCAACATCTCGTCTCTCTTTTGATCGCCATCGGAGAGAAAACGGTTTCTTAAGACATTATAAGATTTATTCAAACTAAAACCGCAAAGAAGAAAAACCTCTGGCTGATGGTTACGTGTGATTTTCTTCTCTTGGGTACGTAAACAACAAATCTTATCAATGTGTGATTTTGATGATTTTATATCTATTTATCTTCTATTTTGTGGAGAAGAGATTTCTTTTCATCGGATTGGAGAGTAATTTTACATCTCTGCAATTTGATTGTTCAATCTCCGACATGGATTATGTGACCATGATCGATGACAAGATTGTGTTGTGTTCAGAATCAAATGGTAAGGAATACATCTTAACTATTTTGTTTTGGAAACAATGGTTATGGTATTTCATTATCCTAGAGATGAAAGTTCTGGTGGTTACGGTGAAAGGGTGAGACCTACTCATGCTTAAAAAAATATTTTATTAGACTTGTTATGGAAAGGTAAAAGGTAATACCTCAAGTCAAACTTCTTTCTGCTTTCTCTTCTCCTTTATCCTCATCTTCGTTATCCTCTTCTTTCTTCTCAGAAGAAAACAATTTTCTTTTCAGTGAAACATATCGAAAAGACAAAAATCATTGTAAAAAAGATTCAGTAAACTAAGAAGAAGAAACCCTAAATCCTAGATATGTTTGATCAAAAACATAAAAATTAAAGAAGTAACAAACCTCAAATGATTTTTTAAACAACTCAGAAGAAATCACTGATTTGCGATTTTTTTAACAAATCCAAGATTTTTCGAATAATTTAAGAGCATAATGGTATTAACATTAATTAAATCCTATTTATTTAAATAATTCTCTAAAATTTTTATGTGAAGAAATCTAAGTTGAGAGTGTCCCATTTTTCGTACTAGGTTCATAACCCTGCGCAAGCGCGGAGGCAGAGACAGTGATGATATGTTCTGATATTTTATAGATGGAATTTTATCATTTGTTTTGGGGCATTTTTTTTCGGGGTTTAACCAAAACCCGATTTAATTGAGTTGATATACAAATGAGTAAGAGTTCATATGCTCTGAAATATACATATACTATTTTAGTAATAATTTTGTCGAATATTTGTGTTATTAGTGCTTTCATGTCCATGATGGGTGATTTGTTGTGTTGTTATTGTCTAATTGGTAGGTTGATAGTATATCATTGTTAAATAGTGAATTGGCATTTTAAAAAAATGTTTTTAACTTTATTAAAAAATTATACAAAGAAATATGGTTTAATGGATTGAAGAGAGAAAGGTCAAACATGGTTGTTAAGGGTTGTGCGGAATGATCAGGGGTTAATATTTATTAGTGAGTAAAGAAATTTTTTTATTTGCATATAAGAGTGTTTAATGAATTCATATGTGTTCGTATTTTTACATTTTTTGTACAATTTAATCGGATCTTAACGTTATTAGTAATATAATGACCATATGTAGCCAAAAATAGATATTTGTTAATATACAACTATAATATGGGAACGAAGAAGAAAATTTTTTGTCATCCAAGAAGAAATATAGTTTGTTTTTTTTTTTAATGTGCCATGACATATTTTTGAAAATTTATAATTATAGTTTAATAGTGATATAATTTTGTATAGTTATATATATGTATGACTAAGATAGTTGATTTTTTTGTATTTGTCAAAAATATTTTGTGGTAGTTTAAAAAATAGAAATGGTGAATTAAAAAGTTTATAGTGGTATATGTCTATATTCTAACAATGAAAACGTAGTAACTGAGTTTTTAAATGATTGGACTTGAAATTTGATGACCCTTGAGTCTCAGTTTAGGTCTGGAATTTGAATAACTATTTACTCACCCTTTTTATTTATCCTTGTCGTCTTCAGCAGTGTGACAAGCTCTTGTGATTTTTGGTCTGATTGTGTTTTTAGTGTGTCAGTTTGTGAAATTATAGTTGTTCTATAGCGACATAGCACAAAAATTTGCTCAACTTAGTTAAGGCTGTCTCCGCCACATTACTCACTGAACCTCTGTTGATTCGGAATTCTCGGAACCTAAAATAAGAAGGTTTGAATTTGTTGTATGAATTTGTTTTTATTGTTATTAGTTTCATTTACTAAAACCCATACTGAATGATTTGAGGTTCTATATGTTAATTTGGTTGGTATGGCTTATGTTTACCGTAACATGACAGAGAGACTTGAAGTTTGCATGACGCACACCAGTGATGCTAATTTTAGGAACTGGAAAAGCAAAGAGAGATATTTTCTAGAAGATGGTTAAAATTATGAGGAATCGAGGAATTTTGTGGAGATGTAGATAGGGTTCATCAATGATGAGAATCATATATATAGGGTTTACAGAGGGACTACAAATCAGGAATATTTATGATCAAGAGATGTAAGATGGGGAGATGAAAACTTCACTTGTGAAAAAATAGATTACGAACAGACACATGGTGCAACTCTGCAACTCAGACCTGTCTGAGACGATGAAGAAAGGAATCTTAACTCATGTTAATCGACGACGGTTTACAATATGGAAAACTATAACTGTTGTAAACTTGAGGATTTTCTTCATATAACGTGATGAAGTCCAATTAAAAAATAAAACCCAAAATACAGTTGCAGATCCGACCTTTAAGGAAAGCCAAAAGAAGCAAAAGCTTATGACTTTCATAAATATATATATTAGTTTTGGCCAACAATGTATAAGTTATTCTTTAGTTTAGTGGTATGAATGTTAGTGTTATTATCTTAATAACCTGTACTATTATATATTTCCTCCGTTCCATATTAAGTGTCGTTGTATGGATTTTTTTTCGTTACAAAATAAGTGTTGTTTTCGGTTTTCAATGCAAAATTTATTAACTATATTATGTAATTTATTTTTCTATTGGTTAAAATGTGATTAGGTGTATAAGTAATAGTGTTTTTATATAGGAAATACGTTAAATTAATTGTTTTCTTAATCTGTGTGCACAATTATAAAATACGTTAAATTAATTGTTTTCTTAATCTGTGTGCACAATTATAGAGTGACACTTATAATGAAATAGAGGGAGTAGTATAAGATTTTCCCAATTAATAATTCATGTATTGAAGTTTTAACAAAATTACAAAAGAGTAAAGAAAATGGGAAAAGTGTGTTGCAATGAAACATTACAAAACAAATGTGCTTACCCGCATTTGATGCAAGAAAAAACGTACACCAAAAAATTCACACCATCATAACATCCTCTAAATGACCCTTTTAATTGTATTTGGAATGTTACTTAAATCGTCAGTTACAACTCCAAGAGGGTCCCATAAAATCTCACACGTGGACAGCGACACACCGTCGTTTTGATGAGATTCAACAACATCTGCCTCGACTGAACTTCGTCTTCATCTCCTCCTTCCTCCTCAAAATCTCGATTTCAAAAACCCTTAACAGACACTTCTAGTTCCCTTACGGATGCAGATCTCTCGAGGTTAGTGTTCTTTCGAGCAACCATGGCGCGGAGATCGCCGCCGCAGCTTCCGGCGGCACGTCGCGGCGGCGTTGTGTCGTTTCGATGGAAGCTAATCACTGCAATCTCCGCCTCTCTATGCTTACTAGCTCTCCTCAGTATCTACCACCGTCAGTCCCGTCCCCCCAGTCCGTCGCTCTCCGTCGCGAGATCTCGAATCCCGCTCAAGAAATACTCCGGGGACCGTCCGAAGATCGCGTTCCTTTTCCTCGCTCGGCTTGATCTTCCTCTCGATTTCCTATGGGACAGATTCTTCAAGGTTCGTGAAAAGGTTGCGTACGTTAATGAATCGGAATGGCCCATGATTCTTCTGGTTGTTGTTGTGGTTTTTGGTGGGCAGGGTGGAGATGAGAGGAACTTGTCAATCTATGTACACTCGATACCTGGTTTCGTGTTCGATGAAGGCACCACTCGATCACACTTCTTCCATAATCGACAGTTGAAAAATAGCATCCAGGTGAGGGGTTTTTTTTTTTTAATTTTGAAATATTCTTAATTTCTTAGCTGTTTTGTGGATTAGGCGTGTACGTTTGGGTATCAGTTCTGGTTCGGTCAGGTTTTGGATACTTGAATTTCTGGTAATATGCTCATAAACCACACATTAGGTATTTTTAATTTGTAAGGTCGGGTTCGGTTTCTTCTGGGTTTTGTCCGAAATCGCCTAAACCCCAGAAAAAAACTACCCTGAAGTATCGGAAAATATTTGAGTTAAGCAAAAAAACCTATAAAAAACTGTCCAAATGAAAGTATTCTAGTTAACCAAAAAAATCTGGTATAATAATTTTCAAACTCTCCAAAGGTACTCCAAAATATTCAAATTAGTCAAATTTATATAAAAAAGATTGGTAGGTTTCAGTTAACTTGGTTCTAGTTCAAATTTCGGTTTGGATCGGCTATGATTCGATATCCAAAGTACGTAGCCCTTAAGTGTCGTCATTCGTGTATTTTTTCTGTAGAACTGGATCTGAGTGGGATCGGGTTATTTTAGCCGGGTTCGGATTTAGATTTGGGGTTCAGTTATAAACGCCTAGGATTTTGATTGATGAACTAAGGATTTAGAGGTTCTTCCACATGCAGGTGGTTTGGGGAGAAGCAAGCATGATTGCAGCAGAAAGATTGTTGCTTGCATCAGCCTTGGAGGATCCTTCTAATCAAAGATTTGTTCTTTTATCTGATAGGTTTGCTTCTTTAGGACTTCGGCATTGATTGATTGATTGCTTGTAGTATAATGTATTTATTCTGCCTGACAACGTATACTCTTTTGTGATATGCAGCTGTGTTCCGTTATACGACTTTGGTTACATATACACATATCTTATGTCTTCACCAAAAAGTTTTGTAGACAGGTACTTTTTGGTTTCGTTATGTTAATTGATAGCAGAAGGACAAGATATAATTTCCCAAGTCAACTATTGTATTGTAAGAGCAGTAATATAGATATTTGATCATCAACTGTGTTGTTTAGTTTCCTTGATACTAAAGACCAGCGCTACAGCATGAAAATGTATCCTGTTATACCCAAAGAAAAATGGCGAAAAGGATCTCAGGTTATCTTCTTATCATGTTGCGGGACTGTTTCCTTTGAAGTTTTTGGAAGTTTAAATTTGTTTTCTACTGCAGTATTATCAATCACTTGTCTTTTATTTATTTTTTGCAGTGGATATCATTGATCAGAAGCCACGCAGAGGTTATTGTTAATGACGATACTGTGTTCCCAGTTTTTCAGAAATTTTGCAAGGTAAAGGTCAAAATTTTGGTGTCTTCACTTATGTTTACTTATCGGTTTCGAGAAGAGTATTACTCCAGCCTTGTAAATTGCTTTTCAGCTATATTCTTAGGTGAAACCTCAGAGAGTATCAAATGTTTTTACGTATCGGTTCCCATAAGTAGTACATCAGCCTTGTAAATTGCTTTTGTGCTAGATTCTTAGGGAAACCTGAGAGTATCAATTGTTGTTACTTATCGGTTGCTATAACTCGTACGTCAGCTTTGTAAATTACTTCTGAGCTATATTTTTAGGGAAACATCAGAGTATCAAATGATGTATTTGTTTCAGTTACACTGTTTCTTGACTGATTAGTTGTTTACTTTCTTATATTTTCCAGCGATCTCTACCTCTGGATCCCAGTAAGAAATGGCTATATCTTGTAAGTTATCCTTCACTGTTTTTCTCTGTTTCCTTTATGCGAGCCATTTGAAACACTTTGATTCTTACTGCGTCTAGATCACTACGATTAGATGAATCCACGAACAAGTTGTGTTTGTTCATAGTTTCGAACAATTAGGGAATCTTCTGTTTTGTCTTAATATCTCCTAGTGTCTAGATTTAGAAGATTATGAGTATTATTTCCCCGCAGACATCTCCTTCTTTCTCAATAAATAGCGGAATTTTTGTCATAACATGTTTAAATTTGTTGTTAAATGTGGAAACAGAAACAAAGACGTCACAACTGCATCCCTGATGAACACTACGTGCAAACTCTGCTCACAGTAAGCACAAACATCATTCATCAAAAATCTCTCTTTTGGGTTTACACATTCAGTGTTGTGTATTCTAATCGCTTGGATCTCTTTCAGATGCGTGGCTTGGAGACTGAAATGGAACGGAGAACAGTGACATACACTACATGGAACCTATTAGCCAAAAAAGCTGAAACCAAGTCTTGGCATCCTCTCACTTTCACATCTGACAACTCCGGACCAAAGGAGATAGAAGAGATAAAGAAGATCAACCATGTTTATTATGAATCAGAGTATCGAACGGAATGGTGCAGGGCGAATTTAAAACCCGTCCCGTGCTTTCTTTTTGCGAGGAAGTTCACTAGAGGAGCTGCGATGCGTCTTTTGAGTGAAGGATTATTAGAATCATCAACTGATACAACAACAACCTCTTGAATGTAAGAAAGGTAAACACAAAGGTTAAGGTTACACAACTAAGAAAGACAGAAACCCAAAAATGACTTCAGAAAGGGTTTTAACTTAGAGCATATACAAGTGAAGAAGCATACAGATTACAGAGAGTACATTAACTGATCAATGGTTTAGTACAAACTACAGGCGTTATGTATTTCTTTTTTATTTTGGTATTTTATATGTATTTTAAATTAACCGGCAATTCATGCGCTTCTTATAGAAAAATTATAATACAAATGTTTTGGAAACCAGTTTGATGGTTCCGTTCTATACTTCACTGTGTTGTGTTTGTTGAATTCATACAATGAAAGAATCTAAGGATTAGATTCTTGAGGCTTAGGAGAAATCTTCATAGAAATCAAATGAGGAAGAACATTCAAGAGATTTTATTGATCCAAGATTGCATTACAAATGATTTGAATATTAAAGTGAATCTAAGAATCTATAAAATCCTTATAGGAAATGTTCTAGATCTAAAAGAGGAGAAAAGATCCTAAACAAAGAGGGATTGCCTCCTTATTTATAGGAGAATGAAGTTTAGGGTTTCCATCTAAATAGGCCTAATTCATTGTCTACTAAGTCTTATGGATGGTGTAAATCCACCCCCAACAGTAAGTTCCCCCAAGTTCGTAGAGAGAAATGAAATAGATCTCTGCGGAGTTTACGAATAGGGTTTATGAGACAATGAACTAGGCACATTCATACCTGTAACGATTTAGGCGAATTTACTTTGAACTTGTGCCTAGTAAAATGTGAGTTTGCTTTGAACTCGTGCTTAGTGAAAGACGAGTTTACTAGACTCATGCTAAGACAAAGGCGAGTTTACTGAGAATCCGCGCTTAGTAGAAGGGGAGTTTCTGTAAACTCATGCCTAGCCAAAGAAGAGTTTTTGTAAACTCGTTTCTAACAATAAGCGAGTCACTCGCAAACTCGTGCCTAATAAAAAACAAGTTCAAAGTAAATTCGTGCCTAAAATACAAGGTTACCGAACTATTGCTGACCCGAAGTCTCGTGTCGAGATCGTTGTATGTCGAGCAAGTTGCTGGTTTGTATGTTCGTCAGGCTATGATGATGTCGAGAAACGCGCTGGCTTGTGCTGCTTGTACCGCTTCCGATGAGCTCGTGGCTGAGAGTCATCCTTCGAAGCACGAGGTTATGATGGTGGCGACCATGTGTTGATTCCCTTTGGCTCAGCGATTGTAGTAACTCTGGCTCACGAAAACATTATTACGATTAGGAGCAAGGTAAACCAAAAGAATTAACTAAGCTTTGGCTCAATATCAAGTAAGCGGTAAAACTTGTTTTCTTTAGTTGCCATGACGTGATAATAAGTATAAATCACCAATATGCATAGGCTATGAACGATAAACCAACAAGGAGTCATCTCATGAACGTTAATTATATGAGATTGAGCAACTTAGAGTCGTTTAATTGTTTAAATAACCGTACGCGTATGTGATGATTTAATAAAAAACTTATCTTGTCAATCGGTAGGGCTTGCTTGGTGAAGAAGCAAGGGCTCTATGCTATGAAGTTTGCGTCTTTAGCAGAGTTCAAAGATGAGAGCATCGGTCTTTAATTTTCCTTGTCACATCACTTTTGCCGAGACTGCACGAAGTATTGGATTCAGAAGGGAGCTCTTGATCGGCACTTGACTAAGAAGTGGACGAGATGCCTCCAACTTAATGAAGAAACACAGACGGTCATGAGCTGATCCGAGAAACAAGAATCACGCCGCCTGTCCATGAACTCACCATCGAATAGCTTTCCAAGATAAAGCTGAGAACTTTCATGTTCACAATCGCCATTGATGCAGGGAATGATCACTTTCTTCTCTCCTTCCATTAAGAGCCTTTGCAAGCAAAAGGATGAGAGGATAACCTCGTGACGAGGTTACTAGCTTGCGTCGAGATGGTTCTCGTGAGTTCAAGTCTCGAGCTCTTAAGTGAAGAAGCAGGGCTTTGATTGCAAGAATAAGCAGTCACCATTGTTTGTGTCCCGATCCGTCACCATCCACTTTTTTTTTCTTTTTTTTTGTGAAGATTACAACGGAGCTCAAGACTTTACCTCGGCGACTACAGCTGTCTCACGATGCTTCATTTTTGGTCCGCTGGTGAGCTTCGTAGACTCGATAACTTTCTCAGGCATAGGAATAGAAGGCAAGAGCTTTCAACGAGGGTGTGTGGGGATTTCTTCATGACAGATGAATTCGAATAGGGACATCCATTTTTGCTTCGTATTGTTTGCTCACCAAGTGTCGATCGAAGTCCCGCAAGAAAAAAAATTGAAAGAGCTCTTGAGTTGGTTGCCGACTTGCTGGAAGCAACAAGTCATGGCTTCCTGGAGAGACGACTTAAAGGTAAGGTCACGTCTCATGTCGAGCTCTGGAGCTGCGTATGGATTACATCGATGCGAACAGAGAGGTAGTGAAAGCTGAGGAGATCGCAGGAGCCATAAGATCTCTGATGGACGGTGAGGATACGCCAAGGAAGAGAGTGAAGGAGATGGCAGAAGCTGCAGGGATGGCTCGTCTTCACAGCGGCGGCGGTCGAGGTCGTGTCTCTGATAACGTCAGTGATGCTGATAACGCTTCGGTTCTTCTTCGCTGCTGATTTTGATGATTTTCAGCAGATCTGTTCGAAAGGTTGAACCTTTTTTCTAGGAAGGAACAGACCCACAGCCGTAAGTAAAGGATGATGAACTTGTCGACGAGAAAGCTTCCCTTTTTTTTTAATCTAGGATCTAGGGTTCTTCCTAGTTTAATTTGCTTTGAAGATTGTTCTCCTTGGCCCCCTCCTTCTAGCGCCAACTGTTTGAACCGAAAACGGTGTGTTTGTCGAATTCATACAATGAAAGAATCTAAGGATTAGATTCTTGAGGCTTAGGAGAAATCTTCATAGAAATCAAATGAGAAAGAACATCCAAGAGATTTTATTGATCAAAGATGGCATTACAAATGATTTGAATAGTAAAGTGAATCTAAAAATCTATAAAATTATTATAGGAAGTGTTCTAGATCTAAAAGAGGAGAAAATATCCTAAATAAAGAGGGATTGCCTCCTTATTTATAGGAGAATGAGGTTTAGGGTTTCCCATCTAAATGAGCCTAATTCATTGTCTATTAGGTCTTATGGATGGTGTAAATCCACCCCCAACAAGTAGTGTCTTGGACAATGGGTCTAGGGATTAGTTTATTTAGTACGACGTTGGTGTTATGTTCCTGTGTACACAAACGTCAAAGTTGCAGTCGAAAAAACTTAGACCTGCATTTCTTTAGATTGAATCTCAAACAATGATTTAACTTTTTCGAAGAACATCTTCCAAATGTAATTTGAGCATTTCACATACGATCTCCAATGTTTGTATTAAGTAATTCAAAGGCCGCTGGTTGTTTACTTGTAGGTAACTTAGACCTATATTAGAAATCACTAAGCCATCATCAATGAAGTTTTGTCATAAAACAAACAAATTATAATTATGAATGCATATATAGTATTATATGAATATGATTATGGAAAAGGTGTAGTTGTCTTGTATTGACTCTTTATCATTAGACAAAAAGCTCGTAATTTAGATTCTGACGGAATTGCATTGGTTCATGCATACTTGGACTATTGTGAGAAATGTTTATCTATAAAGCACATGCTAATTAACTACTTACCTAATTTATTTTAGTCTTGCAATGTTTGGTGAGATTTAGAATAAAGTGACAAAAGAGAAACACAAATAAAATGAGCTATGACATTTTATCATTTTATGTGTGATAAAAATTGTTTATCCTTTCTCACTGTAAAATTATATTATTTCGGGGATCTAACCACAGAAAAATAGTCTACAAATATGTCGACTATCTCCGACCAAGTTGCTTTGACTTAACACTTGACCTTAGTAGCTCTATTTTTTTCCTAGTATGTGAAAATCTGTCTGTAAAAGAAAATGGAGAGCATCAATTCTGCAACATAAAGACAAGAATACTTTTTAATCGCAGTCACAAGCGACAGTCGTACATGGCAGACCAAATCGTTTTTCCTTTACATGCACTTCGGTTTTGGTCGTAAGAAGTGATTTATCTTTTTATAATTTCTTTAATTTTTATAAATTCAATGTTAAAGATAGCAGACATGGTACGAAAGCAATTATTCTTTTCGTCAAACCAACCAATGTTTTTTTCCTTGATGTTTTGAAGATTGTGACATTCGAGAAGCGATCAAATAATATTCAGGAACTGTTTTTCTTCCACAAAAAATCATTAGTAGCAAACTGAAATTTACAGAATAAGTATAGAATATAAAAATGTTTAATAAAAATAACACTAATTACTACTCTCTCCGTTTCATATTAAATGTCGTTATAAAGAAAACTGTTTGTTACAAAATACATGTCGTTTTCGATTTTCAATGCAAAATTTTATCAATTTTATATAATAATTTATTTTTTCTGTTGGTATGGTTTACGTGTATAGGTAATTGTGTTTTTACATACAAAATATGTAAAACAATTATTTTCTTAATCTGTGTGCGTAAAGCTAAAATGACATTTAATATGAAACAAAGACAGTATATATGCATCGATATTAAGAACGAGAAAAGTACAATAAACCTTGTCGATGTTTTTTTTTGATAATTTTTTCTTCTTCTTTTTCTCGTAGAATATTTTTTATCCACTGGTTTCAACCGTCAAAGCCGTCTCTTGCTTCATTTTTCTCTCCCTTGCTTCTCGTCCATTTATGCTTCTCCTGATATGTCTTTGGCTCTGATGTTGATGTAGCGTAGCGATTCCAGAGATCCCTGTGTATGGCAGTTCTGACGTTTCTTCGTAGATTTTGGTGTCGAAGCGAGGTTAGATGTAGTGCGTTGGCGAGGAATCGGCTCTATGGGTGGTGATGAAAAGTAGATCTAGGTTTTCAATATTCTAGATACTTTTCCTCTGCTGGTGTGAGCGCGTGGTCGTGCATGGATGTCTCCTCACCTCAAATCTTTGGGTTCGGCGAGGAGCAGTCTGGTGTCACGGTGATTTCTCTTGCTCGGTGTCGGGTAGCTTGAGTCACATGATTTCATGACTGCTGGTTCAGGAATGGAGCTGGCCGTTATGATCTGTTTCTTGATCTCCACCGACAGCAGCCCTGGCTTTGCCCCTTTGATTGTATCCGCTTCTGAGATTGTCCACTTCGTTTGTTAGGTGGTGGTTGTCTTCCTTTCTCACTCATCTAGTTTGCGCTTCCGTTTCGCGTGTTGGCACTACAAATAAATATCCTAAGAATTTCTG